AATAAATACGTCGAAATCCATGTGTTATTTGGCCTACCGGAAGTAAACATCGCACTTTCATCTTCGCGCATTTGAGGACGAGCATAATTCACTCTAAATGGCTCGTTGGCGTTCCAGTGTATTTAGTTCTATGTCCAGAATAAGGAAATCTGACTTATATTTTCAATATATTCATTTTTATTATCTATTTTCAAACTATACTAAACAGCAAAAAAAAGAACAAAAAAACCCCCGTCAGTACCATTTCAAAATCAGACAGGCACTTAATCAAATCATTCTAGAAAACTACTTACTAAATGGATCAAAGCAATTTTTCGTGAACAGTATGTTTACACATTAGTGATTAATTCATCACAATTCAAGACATTACGAGAAGGTTAAGAGTCTGTACACAGTCTGTACATCAGTATCTGGTGTGTCCACCGCGAGTGTCAATAACAGCAGCGCGGTGTCTGTACATGAAGTGGACCAGACGATTGACGAACTCCATTGGCACCTGGAACCACACTCTCAGAAAAGCCTGGCGCAATCCATCAGCTGTGTTTGGTCTCGGTACGACGTTATTAAGCCTCCTCTGAATTTCATCCCAAAGATGTTCAATCGGGTTTAATTCCGGACTAAGGGCGGACCAGTGCATAACGTTGACACCGTTCTGCTGTAGAAAGTCCCGAGTAACTCTGTCGGTGTGGGCACGGACGTTGTCATGCTGGAAAACTTTGTTTCGATGACGTGCGAAATGTGGTATGACGTGGGGCGTGAGAACTTGATCGATGTAGCGCACTGCTGTGATGCCGCCTCCTGTCACTGGACCAAGATTTTGGAACACCACAGAACGAACTCTCTGATTCAAGCCGATTCCACCCCAAACCATTATGCTTGGACCTCTCATTAGTCTCGTTCTATGACACATTGGTCAGAATAACGCTGGCCACGTCGACGCCATATTCTTGTCCTGTCATTTGTAGTTGATACGCAATACCGACTCTCATCTGTGAACAGAACAGTTCTCCATTGCCTGTGTCGCCAGTTCTGGGGCTGTTGGGCAAACTGTAGACATTCACGTCGATGGCGAGGGGTGAGGATCGGTCCACGGTAAGGTCTACAGCAATGGATGTTCTCTCTAGTGAGACGTCGTCGCACTGTATCGGTACTGATGGGTCTTCCGTGTGTTCCAACTGTCTGACGTGCTGTCTCAGATGCCTTTGGGAAGGGATTCTGCACGTGCTGTCGCACAACATGGCGGCCTTGTCGCCTTGTGGAAAGCCTTGGTCTACCAGTCCGGGGGCGATCATCCGTGGTGCTAGTGGCCCCAAGGCGTTGCTGAAGCCAGTAGATGGTCCGAACATTGACTTGGAAGTGATCGGCAACGGCTTGGGCAGTGTGGCCAGCGTCGAGTCTTCCAAGCGTCTGGTTCCTCTGAGCTGTCATGAGTCGTGGCATACTGCTGGCTTTGTAGTGTGAATGATTCAACCAGGTATGGGGTGTATCTTATAGGGCTGGTCCCGGTGAACAGCACGTCCAGCGTGAGTTACATGAAAATCATGGAGAACACACTACCTTCTCAGAAGTCAGGTTGCGTTTTTGAGAACATTTCCTGGGTTCAGTTCTGTGTTTGGGAAGGAGCCTTATTGCTCGGATAAAGATGGAGATGTTGTCACAAATATACAATAAAAACATTTGGCAAGTTTTATGCAATGCGTCTATTCATAGTAGCATACCAACCTGACGTTTCTTGTGCTGCTTAGTATATTATAGCAATAACGGCCACCTCTGTATTTAAATCTTACATAATGCATCTTTAACGTCAGTCTGGTGGTTGGTGTCGAATAAACAGTTCTTATCTCTGATGGTGTGATTTGATAAATATTTATTCTCTACCATTGTTTTCATTAACCAGCGGAGTTTTATTTAGTTACTACAGTTTCATCAATATATTTCGCCTGTCCAACCTCGTGGGTTTTCTCCGGGTCTCCCGGTTTCCTCCCACTGCTAAAGACCCCGAAATGACCTAGTTTGAGTCGAGTGGACGTTAAACCCCAATTTTCTCACTCTCCCTTTCATCAATATATACGGATCTAATTAAAATTAATTGTTTATTATTTTTTATATAATGTATAGAAAAGGTGAATACTAAAAATATAATACTATTGTTCTCTGTGTATTATATAGTCTCTTATAACTGTAGAAGGTCCACCCATTAACGGTTTCTTATAGATTCTTCTTTCACGTCGGAATACTTTGTTTGGGGCTGACCTTCGGATAACTTGGACAACGAAATCATCGGTTCCAGTTTGTATCTAAACACACAGGAAAATGCTCAAAATTTCATTTTCGGCGATGTAATTTTCAAAGAAAATATCATCTGGTGAGACGGAGATTAAGATGGTCTCCTGCAGCCGATGCACACAGATAATGGTTTTATAGTAATTCAACCCATTCCGTTAAATATATTCATCAATATGAATATTATTTCATGGTGTATGTATAAATATGTATTGTTTGCTATAGTGTCGGACAAAAAGCTCTGTTTTAAACCCCGACTATAAATAAAGATTATTCACTATATTTTTATTGGACCTTTTTTATCGTGTGACTTTTCCTGAACGGCTAACTCAGTCATGGGAGGCAACCCTATTTAGTGGCTATTGAACTGGCACAAGGCCCTAAATCTCATTCCCAAACTACTCTGAATATTAACTGTCGAGTAAAAGGAGAGATAGCAACAGAATGAGAGATTTAAACCTTGACTTCTTTACTGAAGTAAAATTGTGGACACACATAACACACAACATAGTAGGTCTAACTTCAAACCAAAGGTCTATACCTAATAATAAATGACAGTTCATCTGAATCCCTGTCAAACAAAGCTAACAAAGTTATTTTGTTGGCTATGATAAATTTTTCTAGCTAGAGAAAAAAAAAAAATAATTCACTTGCGCGTAAGGGTCTTTGGCAGTGGAAGGAAAGCAGAGGATCCCGAGAAAACCCACGAGGTTGGAGAGGCGACCCTACTCCTTGTCGCGTAAGACACTACGGGGTAGATGTGACTATCCCGGTAAATAAGAGCTAGGCTGTGACACTATCGTCTATGACTTTCTTCGACTTCACGTTGTGGGATCAATTATTTCAATCATCAATTAACTGACTCTGGAACACCGTTTATGTTGTTACTAAGTTTATATAATTAAATACATACAGCAAACTACAAAGTTATGATAGTACTTTTCGAGTTATTAAAATATCCACGGTCTGAGTTTAATATCCTTTCTAACTCAGACCAGAACGGCCACATACTTCTTGATATTTCTACATAAGGTTCGCGCTAGGATGATGTGTTCACCCTAGCCTGTAAGCCGAGGGGGCTACGATGTTCCCCTCTCCGGCCGCTCTATGATATCTGAAGGTAAATCAACCCATATCTTTCCTATATAGATATTATAATGCGTCATCTATTAGGGCGGGACAATTACCATTTTGGGTAAGTGTTTCGTATAGGCACCGTTTTACGTCAACACTATTCTAGTTAATTGTACTAATCTGTGCGCGAGATAACTGGGCCCTTATTCACGAAAACTTAAACTAAGTTACAACTGAAATATTAAGAAATACTGCAACTTCATTGGATATATGCAAATTGATTTTACTGGTCAGCCAATCGAATTGCAGTATTTCTTAAAATTTCGATTGTATCTTAGTTTAAGTTTTCGTGAATAAGGGCCCAGGACTATAGTACCCTACTTCCAGCAATGATACTGACATAACTGTCGGTGAGTTAGTCTAAGATAGAAGTAGAATAATGGAAGCTACTTCATTACCCTAGTTTTCGTCACACATCATTTAGGTAACGAATTTCTATATTAAACAAAACACCTTTCTTAAAGCTAAAATAAACCTTATAGTATTACACACGTACAACCGGGGAATCGAAACCACGCCAGTTGACTCAATGACAGACCTTATTATTCAGCGTGCACGCACTAACCATTCAGCTATATACCCCCCCCTCAAGTAAAGGGGATCTGTTATGTGCATTTTCCATTTGTTTATATATCCCATTCAAATGGCACTACTTCTTTTTTTCTCTGGTCCAGGACCTTAAGAAACTAGGTCATACAACAGGACAAAATATGAGTGAAGTTGACCTAGCTACAAATGCACTGGCCGTAATTTCTGTTTTGGGGGTTTAGCTACTTTTTTTTTTTTAATATCCATTGTATTTCCACGGTTGCCACAAACCCACTCCAGGGGTCATGCAAATTCATTTAGTTGGAATCTAGTCAGGGTTCTCAAAAAGAAGTTAAAATGTCTAAATTTGCCCCTAGAACAACCATGTAGGACCAATATTTGAACAATCCGAGAAGGCACTACACTTTTCTAAAATCCATGAAGTGGATGAATCAATCTAAATATTAAAATTTGCCTCTTTTTTTTTTTGATTACAAGTTTTTGTTGACAGTTTATAATGTTTAATGTCTCATCAATGCAATACTTTAGTCATTTTAAGATGAACATATGGTTCACTTTTATTTCAATAATTCGCTTGCACATAGGGGTCTGTAACAGTGGGAGGAAACTGGAGGAGTGAGGACCCAGAGAAAATCCATGAGGGACAGGCGACCCTACTCCTTGTCATGTACAAGCAGGGAATTCACATTGATTCAACGACAGATCTTATGATCAAATGCTCATTCGTTGACCATTCTGCTCTCCCCTCCCTTCTTAGTCAGATTACAGTGGCCTATCCCCATCAGAAGTAAACACAAAATGACATGCTCTAACACCACTTAAGCCGTGTGTTGAATTCTAGTTTCCTTAAACAATAATCTTTATCCCTGTATTCCAGAAGTATAGACCACGGTAAAATGCAAGTAGCATGAAAGTGCTGTAGTAAAGTTATACAGTGACAAGCAGAAGACAGGCGAAGTAATTAGTTTTTTAAACTAAAAAAAGAAAATGTTGGCTGTATAAATGAATTCATTAATGATAAATAAACTGCTTCATGATATATGTACAATTATTTATTCTGGTAGATGTAACATCACTGATCTCATTATACAAACCCATAATAGAAGCCATGTTTGGAATAAATACAAGGGAATATGCTGTGCTAATGGGACCATTTTAAATAATTAATAATGATACTAGAGAAATGGTTCAAGCCAATGAAGAAAGTCCATAGATCTACCATACAATAAAGAAAGGAGAATAGAAACCTAACAAATCATAGTTAACTGATCATAAATTTACTAGTATTAGTCATTATATTAAAATTGAATAGCTTAAGAATACAATAATATACATTGTGGCCCATCAGCAGCTTAACTTAATCATAAATAGGAAATTATAATGAAAAAAGAAACTTTAATAGCCTATTATATCACATACATCAATGAAAAAACTCACATGTTACTACACACTATCAACATAGAATAAAATCTTCCTCTTTATGTGAATATATTATATATTTATAGCTTGTATTACATGTACATTATGTTCAATATAGAGAGTAAAGAGTTCAATATGAAAAGGCAGCAAATGCGTGGAGAGTTATTTCCCTTGTATTTGCTGATATTAATAAAACAAGAACAATTATACACAAATACAGACAAACATTGAAATGATATTGAACAATAAGACTTCCATTGTGATCTTTATTTCTCTGCAACACAATACAAATAATAAAACTGTTACCAGTTAATAATATTTCATTGTTATTCTTAATTAAACACAAGATTTCTAATCAAAACAAAACAACTGAAATTCCAGATACATTCATGAATAATTGTCGGAATGCTTTTTTTTTTACTAGTAAAATATATCATCTCTGTGAAATCTTTCGCGCCTTGTGTTTTTTTTTTGTATAGTTAAAAGTTCTAGCATGACAAGTATTAAATTAAATACATATTGAACTGATACATATGTTAATTGAATTAAATAATATATCTCTAAAACAATCAGAACAAAACTATTTAAAGACGCACGTAAATAATATATACCAATGGATATCTTTGTCATAGTCCAACCTTAACAACTTCATGTAGTGGTCATCATTTTCTCAACACCTTTCAACATACAAATATGATATAAAAAAAGAAGAGGCAAAAAAAAGAATTACTTCAAGTAATTCTAAGAGATGCATGGATTTATATTATACTTTAAAATATTTCAATTTCAATTGTCTATTGTGCTACAAGTTTCTTTTCAACCAAATTTCTCGATTTCCATTTTCTCAATTTGGAGAACTTAAACCCTAATTCTTTTAAACCACACCCTTTTGAGAAAATATGTTAAAATATTCATGATATAATAAGTTATACTTTTTGAGCATTTCAACCAAAAGGGGTTTAAGAGAACTGGGGTACAGTGGATTGTGGGGGTCGTGTAGGAGAATGTCAGGAAATAAAAGTCAATGCTTATAAAAAGAAGTCATAATATAAATATGGTCACCTATTATATGTTTATAATATTAAATCAAACAATGACATATCTTTAGTTTTTAAATTGATGAATAGAGGATGTGAACTAAAATTCTTGTTTCCGTTTAAAAAAAAAATCCTCAAAAAGAACATCTTTTAATTTAATATCATATACAAACTTCCCACAGTAATACAGAGCTAGGTCTTTTTTGTACACACAATCGATCAGAAGGAAAAACAAAGCAAAATTATTTTTGTCACCATCTGAGAAATAAATTTGGCTTTATTTTTCGACTGCTATTAAAATATTTTCCCCCCATGTCTTTGTAAAATATGTGCTAAACGACATCAATAACCATGTGAAGTCAGCAACCACTTTTCAAAATAAACGGGATGAGTTCTTTTTTAGTGTTGGCTGTGTAAACTGTTAGTATTGATGTTCTCACTATGTTAAATAAATTTTAACAACATCCTCCTCCACTTTGTTTAACTGGAGTGCTTGAATTAATTTTTACTGTTGGTTTATGTTCTGAAGCGGCAGTCACAGGGCCCATTCTGTTCTTGATCTCGGCAGCCATCGTCATAAATGCTTGTTCTACATTTGTAGCATTCTTAGCACTGGTTTCTAGGAAAGGAATTCCTAACTGGTCTGCATACTCCTATAAATATTAAATTAATACAAAAAAATAGAAAGTCAAGGCATACAAGCACACCAGATAGCACTACAGCCCAAATCTTCAAATTTAACCCCCAGTTAATTAATATTGCTAAGATAATATTTGTTATGCCATTATGTCCGCATGTTGGTAACATCGAGGGGGGGGGGGGGGGTGTACCAACAATGGTAGTTTTTTTACATGCAGAGTTTGTTGAAATTTCTATACACAGGTTAAATGCATAAAGAGCAGAAGCTTGGTTTTAATGAAATGTGGTTTAACGTCCTACTGTTCTGCTCTGGGCTAATAATGAAGGGCATACGCCGTACAGTGTGCTATGAGGGAAATTTTGCCCAGACAGAGGCACTACGGCCTACTCTTATATTGAATTCCAACTGTCAAGAGATCTTTTACATGCATGCCAATATATACATAGAACCTCGGTTTATCGTACCATCCGAACGACTAGACAGCTGTCCCTATCAGTTCCTCCGTCTTGCAACACTGACAAGGGAGAACCACGCCAGAAAATCTGGATGAACTTTCTCTGTCAATGCAGGGATCGAACACCCAACCTCCAGGTTAGCGAGCCAGCATCTTACCCACTTAGCCACCGTGATCCCCATCCTGGTTTTAATATATAATTAATATCAATACAATGAAAATAAAATTCTGATTAATTTATTAAATATCTTTCAACCTACCTTTGCTGTTGTATAATCTACAACTTTTTTAGCTGTCAAATCACATTTATTACCCACAAGAAGTTTGTTTACATTTTCACTAGCATACCTATCTATCTCTTGAAGCCACTGTTTTACATTATTGAAAGACTCCTGAAAACAGAAGGATGGAATTTATGTTAAACTCAAACTTGCATTATATTGTTGCAATCAGTATTTCTATCCCGCACATCATCAGCAACTGATGGAAATGGGCCCAAGTTTTCTATCAATCATGTCATAGCCCTTGTTACCAGGGGTCTCAATAACCGGGTTCGAATCGCACTTTGCGAATCAATTCTTGCCCGTTGCTAATCAATTTGCCACAAAATAGCTAACTTGATTCGCACAAATGCTAATCATAAATATTGCTTCTTTTATTTCTCACATGGACAATTTTATGTCCCCTTTTTAACTGTAAAGAGTTGTGGACAGTTTTTATAACGATTTTTCGACATTTTTCGCCAGTTTAGTCACGATCATCTAGAATCTAATATCTATTACTGGTAAAAGCAAAGTTTTAGCACCCCCTATATGTGCAGAGTTACATCCCCCTGATTGTTTTGGGGTTTTTTAATGACAGGCTCTTTTTTTTGATAAAATAAAAATAATCCATTGATTTTCTTCACAAAATGGGATAGATATTATGGAATATATAACAAAGATAGGCACCAGTATTAATGCGGATAATAAATGACGAATTTATAACGGATATTTGCAGCAGGGAATTTTCGATCGACAACAGCAATCTTCGTAGTTGTAGGCTAATGTCTGTCAATTTTTCCGATGTAGGACCGATGCATCGCAAGTATCGATGTTAGATCCTGATGCATCGACACGTAAAATATTATTTGATTGATATCAGCACTGACGAGTGAATGGCTGTTACGTCAACAAATGACATGGTTGTGAATATTGAATGTTCAAAAGACGAATCAACCCAGAAATGTCATCAAAATTATTCTGATAGGCCTACTACGTGTCATGAGAGAAGATACACAGCAATGAGCAGACATTAAAATATTTTTAACAATAATTTTGAAATAGTGGGACTGAATAAACCTTTGCATAATATTGCAAAATTCAACAGATAGATTTTACTTCACAGTTTTCCGAAATTGTAGTCAATTGTCAATGGATATTCACACACTGCTAATCAAAACTGGACATTGCTAATCAATTTGCCTGAATTTATTTAACTTGATTAGCAGTTCTGCAAATTAAGTACGAAAAGTTATCGAGACCCCTGCTTGTTACATATTACATGTCATAAATTTACAAATTAGCGGCTTCAGAAAGCTTGGACTTTGTTTCTTTACTCGCCATTTTGACACAGTCACATCATATACGTTATATTTATAGCACAGCTTTCATGAGTTAACAGGTTTAAACATTGAGGCCTATACCTAATAACGAATGGAGCATGCTATAAATGACTTTTAACATTGACACCTGCTCAACATGCTTGTTGTTATTGCACAGAAAACCCACCCCACTTCTCTATATTTCTACTAAAACTAGTGTATATCAGCAAAAGAGTGCAATAACATTGAACATGTCTAGTTATTGCACGGTTAAGCTCCACCAAATCTACTAGAGGGAAAACCATCTACTTATTCAACAAAAAGAACAAAGGAAGATTTCCCATCCATGTTACAAATGATTTTTATTACATGCCAATTTGTGTTTAATCAGTGATAAGACTATAGATCAAAGAAACTGCGCACAACTGTATCCCCTAAAAGTAGAACATGAGTAACTGGCAAAAAAAAATCAGTTCCAGTTAGTTATACGGGAGCTTAGATCAACGGGTTGCTGCCTATTGCTCCAGTTGCTCAAAAATAACTTGCAACTAGTTCGCAATTGTACCCAGTTCTGTCAATATTAGGTTTAGTGATTTAAACAAATTTGTTAATAATTGGACTGGTCACAAATTGAAATTTTAAAAGTTAATTCTGGTATTTATAGTCTAGGTAAATGCAATGATTGAAGTTACACATACCTGGTCTGTAACATCATATACAACAATAATACCATGAGCTCCTCTATAATAACTAGATGTGATTGTACGAAATCTCTCTTGACCAGCTGTATCCCACTGAAAAAACAATTTCATTATGTATTATCACATACTGTAACCTGTCAGATTTACATAAACAGTTAAAACATTTTATACTTTATTTCAATTACCAATCATGACCTCGGTCAGCTATCAGTACTTAAAGCATGGGCAAGCTATATATGTCTACATTTTGGTTTAGAGCAGAAACGTAAATTTATTTATTGCTTTGAAAAAGTTACGCAAATTTCAGCTTTGCAATAAATACACTAACAGTAAACAATGGGAACATTAAAATACCTCTTTAGCTGGGTGAAAGCATCGGCCAAAAATTACCCACCAAATTTACTTGAACAATGAAAGTTATCAGGGGACTGGGTGACTGAATGGTTTAGTGTGTCCGTGTTAGTTCAGAAGTTCTGTCATTGAGTCAAGTACATATAGTGTGGTTTAGATTCCTCTCATGTACATAACATGGAGTAGGGTGACTGTCCAACACTGTTTGTTTTCACCAGGTTATCTGGTTTTCTCCCACAGCTAAAGACCAATTCTCAAAGACTGCTACTCATTTTGATTGTTAAAAGTGTTACATTTTTTGATATTTGAAAGTTTATTCATTGTTCACGTTTTAAAGGAGTAAACACTACATAACATGATTTGATTAAATTATTAGTAGGCATGTCACCAACATTTGGTGTCCCTTTACATATGAAACTGCAATACTCAGTATCACAGTAAACCTTCCCATGTTGAAGTTTCATACTGATTTACAAGTAGTCCATATGGATTGTTACGGTAAAACAAACTTCAACAATTTTTTAAAATCGTTATTTTATTAAAAATCTACAGGGACTATTCAGTTTGTATCAAGAATTTGGGAATATCTGTGTAATCGACATTCGCTGGCTAGAGGTGTTGGCACCTCACCCAAACTTTTAAACAATAATTTAAATGCTTCACTTTCCATTTGTATATTGTAACTATTCCTTTGTATTTTTTTGTTTATTTGTATATACATGTATGCTTGTTTTGTTTTTTATAATCATATCTACATTGTAAAGCGCCACAGAGCAGTCAGACTGACTGAATGTTCAGCGCTATAGAAAACGATTATTATTATTATTATTTATTACACTATTTCTGCTTAGATTTCTAATGAAGGCACCTCAGTTGAATAATAATACATCATAAACACATTAGTATTTCTTATACATGCACAGAAATTTAGTATTAAAAGTCTAATTTGGTATCCCTTTACACAAGAAATCTGTATGAAAAACGTTTTTCTTGGGAACTTGACAATAAGAAATCACCAACTGTCCCTCAAATGGCATACATTATTCATATTATTGGTATAATTTTATCAGTGATTGAGATTACTTAAAATTTTAGTATCTATGTTACACATTGGACCCCATATTAATGGAATAACCATTCTCCAAAACCGCCGACCGGAAGTAGTCGACACTTTGTCTAGAGATTGAAATGAGTTGGTAATTGCGGTCTGCAGTCAGCCACATGAAATATGTTGTAACATGTTATCTCGGAAGCCGCTAACAGGGAGTGGACGATATTTTGGCTACTCCAGATGTAATTAATATTATTGTAATCTGTGAGTTTAATTGAAATCAGTTGATAATTGTGGTCTACAGCCATGCCACATGAAAATGTGTGGTAACCCCATACACTACAGTGCTGGAGTTTGGGACTATAATCGCCGAACAACGCGGAAAAACACTCTTTCGTGGTGGAATAGCTAGCAATACGGCAGCTAGCCAAATCACCGCGAAATAGGGTGTTTCGCGGTGAATTATGGGGTTTCGCGGTGAAACACGGTGAATCGCTTGAGTGCCGATATCATCCCGATGTAAGCATGTTGACGAAAAATGTAATTTATTTAAGTTGAATACAAGATATGTTAACCGTTGGCGAGGCAGCTACGTTCGTATTTCTAACACACTGTACATGTATAACGTGGTGCCACAATGTACGTGTATGCAAACAATGAATAACTTACAATTTTTTAAACGTATCATTTCATCTTATTGGCTGCTATCAAATCCAAACTTTAAATTATATTCGATGAGATTTTACACATAACTTCATTACTCGCAGCTTCAGTTAATCTAAATCAACCATTCATAAATCACAGTGCCATACATGTAAATCACTCCCCAATGCGGTTAACCGTACGTCACGTGGTCAGAAACGCGCGAAAACATGAGATGTTGGGTTCGACACGGGGACTATATATTCTTACGCTGTGTTACTTGGCGAAAAGTATTTAGCAAATCTTGACTGTCACCGGTATATGATAATAATGTATTATGACGTATTAAAATAATATGGGTGGGAGGGGGTACACTGCGAAAGTCACAAAAGTGACAAATAGAACTTGCAACGGGAGTCGAAAGCGCTTTCAAATCAGACATAAGAAGCTCGTACCTACCGCAAAAATGAAATGAACGCGACACAAGTCCCCGATGTGAGAGAATATTAGTAAAGTATAACCGCTATCAAATCCACACAAAAATCCAAGGAAATCATTTTATTTTTGAAAAGAATAACTGTAGGCTCGATAGAAGAGCCTATTCTTCATGAACCCCAAACCAATGGTAACTGTCAACTTGTATGTTGTCATTCTCGTGCAGATTTGTTTGAATAACAGAAATGTCCCGTGTATCAAGATCAAAGAATAAAATCGCACGTAGCCATTCTTTGTTGTTTTTATGCGAATTCAATTAATCTAAAAGGGGCTCCGGCGCAATTTAAGGAATTATTTTTGAGCCAATATTAACCATCGCCAATTTTTTAAATCATGGGATAGAGTCAATTAACAAACAATACGGGTCTACTTTATTACAAAAACATTGGTGAACTTACCATTTTGTCTAAAATCATAACGCTAATCAACAAACAATACTAGTGTTCTTTATTACAAAAACATCGGTGAACTATATTGTTTTTGTACATATTGTATTTATTTATTTGTTTGTACTATATGTTATACCTGATGAGTCTTTGGCTTAAAGGAATAAAGAATTTGAACTCGAACTAATCGCTGTCGGGATGGCGAGCCAAGCTAGTTGATTATTAGGTAAATAAAACAATATAAACAACCAATGAGTAAAAGTGATCTATTCTAATCAATTAAATAATATACAAGTCAAGTACCGGTATTACCTTAACCGTGGACGGGTTTGCTTGTGGACGGATTAACGGACACTCAACTTACAAATATTAAATCATCGCCGTATTGGCACTGACTGACGGCACTTCGTGCACGGACTGTTGAATTCTCGTTTAATTTATTGTGTTAATTTCACTATTGTTTAAAATGTAAACAAAATCTTATCTCGACTACGTAGTACCGTATATCGAGCTAGTCTAGTAAGTAGTAGGCTAGGTTAATCCAGACTAAAACGAAAGTCCTTTTATTGTATTAATAACATTGGCTTCTGGTAGACTCGATTGTCATCTGAGGGATTATATTTTCTTTACGCGGTCTATTTATAGAACAGTAAAACGATTGTAAATATTGGCGCGATAAAAATTTAATTATAAGTCCAAGCTATTGTTGATAGAAAATAATAATGATTTACGTGTATCATAGATAGATAATATTAAGTAACAATAGAATGAAAATACTGTTTGTTGTTTTTTGAGTTTTAGGCCATTATTACTTATTTTATGCATATTTTTGGTATGAACTTTTTTGGACCAGTAAAATCTCATTCGGTCCAGCAATAGTTGGAATAATACCTGCCCAAATGTCCAGTAAAAAAAAATATCATTTCGCATGGACTGCAGGGTACATAAATATGCAGTAGGAAATCGACAAGTTGGACGTACAAAAGAATGGAATCATTCAGAAAGTGTACTCAAAATAAGTAAATTATAACGGGGTGAAGACGAGAATTAACACACTCGTGGATATTGTATAAATATATGAGGCGCATGTAATGTACACGTATGTGTGTGTGAAATGGCTTTATTCAATATCTGCTCCCACCGAAATGAATTGGGTGACATAAAGTAGATGTATATTGTCACAGCGGATATTATTCGCCGAGTAAAACAGCGTAAGAATATACATGTAGTCCCAATCTTTTGGCGCGTTTCTGACCACGTAACATACCGTTAAGCGACCCGCGGAGTGATTTACTGTACGTGCTGTATGGATGATTGATTTAGATTAACCGAAGCTGCGAGTAATGAAGTAATGTGTAAAAGCTCATCGTATATAATTTAAAGTTTGGATTTGATAGCAGCCCCAAATTGACGGATTACATCTAAGTTATAAACGAAGATGAAATGAAATGAAATGAAATGGGGTTTAACGTCCTACTGTTCTGCTCCTAACCTGGGCTAATGAAGACGGGCATACGCCATACAGTGTGCTATGAGGGAAATTTTGCCCGGACAGCGGCACTACGGCCTACTCTTATATCGAATTCCAACTGTCAAGGGATCTTTTACGTGCATGCCAATGTGTACACGGGACCTCGGGTTTTCGTCCCATCCGAACGACTAGGCAGCTTTCCTTGTCAGCCCCTCCGTCCTGCATCACTGACAAGGGAGAACCACGCCGGAAAATCTGGATGAACTTTCTCGGCCAATGCAGGGATCGAACACCCGACCTCCAGGCTAGCGAGCTAGCGTCTTACCCACTTAGCCACGTGATCCCCTAAACGAAGATGAATTGATATGTTTAAAAAATTGTAAGTTGTTCATAGTTTGCATACATTTTGGCCGGCGTTATGTATGTATAAAGTGCGTTGGAGAAAAAATCCTAACCGATACAGAATGCCGATAAATGTCTTCCCGAGATTACCTTACTCATTTGTTATTCAAACCTGCCTGTACATTATACATGTACACGTTTCCCGGGAGCATTACTATATTACAACTCCTTTAATTTATTATAGACAATATTATTTCGACCCTAGCTTAAGGTAGGCTCGCGAATTCCTTGCGGGAAGCACAGCAAAACACGATGTATTCTTATCGAAACACAGTGAATTCCTAGAGAAACACGGCGAATTCCTAGAGAAACACGGTGAATTCCTAGCAAATCTTAGAGAAAAATCGCCGCGAAATCAAGCGAAATTTCACCGTGAAATCTAAGAGGTTTTTTTCGCCACGTCGCGGCGATTTCGGTCCCAAAAATTTGGGAGGAACTGTATCTTGGAAACCGCAAACCGGAAATGGCCGAAAGTTCAGTTACTCAGATATTATCAACATTATCATAATTCGCAAGATATCGTAAAATGGATAATCATGACTTTGTTTTTATTGTAACAACGGTAGTAATGACGATCAAGGTTAGCCTAAAATTGAATCACTAATATATAAGTTCAGAGCAAAGACATTTGACTGAAATTTTTGCATGTTCTCTTTTTATTATCATATTTTAACTATAGCGAGAACTTTCAGCTCTTTATCTAATCTTACCTAATTCCCCTTTAACATTTAATGAGACCTGTGGTGGGTTTTTTTTGTTAGTGTTTATTTCCAATGTATGAAAAATCTTGTGTGCAGAATTTTCAACTATCTGAAAAATCTCTGTGCTTTCAGATTCAGAACAAAGAAATTATTCAGAATAAACAGTCAATATATCATGCTTTCAGTGATGGAAGCTATTAATGCAACCTACAGGGAATTCAATGCAAATTATATGGCACATCATCTGTTATATTCTCACTCAACTGTTTTGGTTTTTTTCTCGATGAATCATCAAATTTATTTGATTACACAACTAAACAAAGTGATTCAATTGACATTTTAAACAAATAAAATTGCAATATTGCTGTTAAATTTCCCCCCCGCAAAAAAATTATTCCTATTCAACATTTTTTTTTAGGATAGTATAATATTCTTATGAATATTCATTTCAACTTTATTCCATTAGGATTCTTAAATTAAGTTAAATAATGATGAACAAGTGAACCTGAGTGAGGCTGATGTCCCTTGCCGAAATCCCCAAATAAATAGATGACACATATTAATTAATTTCATGTTTATCTTTTTCAAAAGTAGCGAGCAATCAAACTGATTATCAACACTACCCAAAGTTTCATCACTCTATCAGACAGAATCAAAGTCATGCTCAGCTTAGTTTTAGCAGGAAATGTTCATCATTGAACTCAGTCAAGACGTTCGCCTAATGAACATCAACATCCAGTTTAAACATTCTACCTCAACTAAAAGCAGAGTTGTTATGTTCCAAAGTCTTGACCAATCAAAATGCTTGTCGCTCCTTAGTCTAAGCAGAAAATTCTCATCAAACTTAGTCAAGGTAACTATATAATGAATCTATACTCGGGAGTTTCATAGCTCTCACTTAATTATAACCAAAGTTATCGCGCTCAAAAGCACAACAATGTTCATCATTGAACTCCATCAAGGCATTTATCTAATGAACGACTACGCCAAGTTTGAACATTCTACCTCAATTAGAAGAAGAGTTATTGTGTTTCACAGTCTCGACCAATCAAATTGCTTATTATCCTCAGCAGAAAATTTTCATTATCGAACTTAGTCAAGGTATGGATGTAAAGAAACTACACACCAAGTTGTTGTGTCCCAAGGCATCAACCAATCAAATTGCTTATCTCTGCTTACCCTAAGCAGAAAATGTTCATCTTCGAACTCCATCACGACATCGACCTAATAAAAACCTGCACCAAGTTTGAACATTCTAGCTCAATTAGAAGAAGAGTTATTGTGTCCCAAAAAGTGTGACAGACGAATCCATTTTAATAGTCCCTTTCTTCGAAAGACGGGGGACAATAATAAAACTCAGTTCAAAGGGTTTCATATTAAAATAAACACAACAGTTCAATGGATAACAATTACTGTATTTCTATTAAAGCTACATTTCAACAATGGTTCCCTTATCGTTATCAAGCCCAATACTGATACAGGCAGAAGGTACGAAATGTACATACTATGTACAATCTAAACATTCAATGAAATCATTGATAAAAAAAAATGAAACCATATGCAATTATGAACGTCTAATCGTAATGTATACATAGATGAACACCAGATAATTAATAGGGGACGGAGTGTTAACCATGGATGTACATATACCTTGGTGTAGGGAGAGAGAGAGAGAAATGGGGTTTAACGTCCACTCGACACAAACTAGGTCATTTTGGGACTAACATATGGTTTAATTTCATTTACATAATACGCTTGCGCGTAGGGGTCTTTAGCAGTGGGAGGAAACCGGAGGCCCCGGAGAAAACCCACGAGGTTGGACAGGCAATCCCTACTCCTTGCCACGTACAACCGGGATTCGAAACCACGCCAGTCGACTCAATGACAGCATTTATGATACAGGGCGCGCACGCTAACCATTCAGCCATCCAACCCCCCCTTGGTGTAGCGAGATAAACTATATTAGCTGTCTAATAGGACAACAGAAAAGGGAATAGATCACATTGTACCTTAGTGCCTACAACAACACTGAACTATATACTTACAATTTGTAATTTGATTGTTTTACCATCCAATTCTATGGTACGGATTTTCTGAAAAAATAAATTAGATGTTTGTAAGTCACAACTTGCTTTTGTGTATGATATAAATTAAGAAATGCATTTTGAAACTGTGTGGAGGTCGAGGGGGAATCACTTTATATCAATAAGCTTCTTCGTGAAGTCTAACTATTATCTACATGTACCTGTTCTGTGGAAAACACCTAAACACTTAAAATGTGCCACTGCATTAATTCATGAGAGCATGATTATTTTTAGTACCAGAGCCCACAACCTACAAGCAGCTAATGAGAGGCCTGGCTGCTAGAGGTATGCATCAGTGGTGCTTTTTCATTGCATCTTAGTATATTGCATTATAAATATTCTAAGGTCTCAGTGTATGACAATACTTACAAAGTCAACACCAATTGTACTAATATAACTTTCTGTATATGTGTCATCCTGAAATACAAATAAAGCATTAAGTAGGCTTTAATTCTGTTAAAAAAAAAAAGAGAAGAAAATACATGTAATATAATTAATATATTTTAAGTGCAGCGCAATAAGCTGTAAACAATAATTTCCCCAATAATTCTAAATATTGAGCAAAATTTACTTAGCCCTCAATTATATATTTACTACATATATATACAACCCCATAACATAAAATTATTCAGTAATAACTCACTTTTAGAGTGTTCATTCTAAATTAAACAAGTATTATTTTCACTGAGAAAATGACAGACTTTTATGTTGACTGTGCACATGCAAGTTACACAGTAAGCTATATACTCCTAGACATGTTCTAACTATACCTATTCAACCTCAATAAACACACAAGTTACTTTCAATAGTGTCTGTTTGAATTACACAATTTAAAGAGAAATACAATTTGCCAAATGATAATAACATATATGTTCATCTTTTTAATTTTGACGAACTGACTAATAGTCACATTTTGCCTTCCTTTCAATAACCAATAATACAATGTACCAATAAATAAGAGATTTCATAATTGAATAACAGCTTATCAACACAAGTTTGTGTTTTGACTAATCGATGAACATCCTGTTTATAAAAGTGAGGATCTGTACTTGTTAAAATTGAACCATTGTCTAGATACATTAGAAATGTTATACTTACAGCAAACCTTAATAAAAGGCAAGATTTTCCTACACCAGAATCACCAATGAGAAGGAGTTTAAAGAGATAATCACTGTAAAAGAACAAAACAATCAATTATCACTAAGACAACCATAAAGTCATAAACAAATCTACCTAGGACATTTATCTGGATGAACTATTATTTAGAAGAGAAGTATTCTTGGCTTTTGAATATTATGTCATATCTCTTTAAATTGTGACCAACAGTTAGCCATTTGAAAAAAAAACGAAACAGGCAACTTTTGTCAGTCGTTGTTGTTTGTATTTTAGAGGAGAGCTGGCAAAAGCTCCTCTCAATCAACAAATTCAAAAAATCACTCCCCTTAAAAAGCTCTCCCAGTTTCGATAAGAAGAGTAATTTAGAAATTAAGGAGAGTGATCTGATATCAAGGAGGGTGATTAGTTGTGTGTATGAGAAATGGTTCTGAATATCAATAACTCCATGTCAGGAGTTCATTCCTGGATTTATAAATGATAATAAACCCCTAATGACATTGTAAAGGAGAGCGATTTTTGATTTTAAGGAGAGGGAAAAAAAAACTCCCCTTGGTCAACATTCAGGTGAGTGGCAGGAGCTCGAGTGATCGCTCGCCTTAAAAAGCAATGACTGTTTTGTTATTGTACAGTATGCCCATCACACCTTGATGGAAATTTTGCATTCTTTTTCGCTGAATTACATTGCCAGACCCATTAACTGCATTAGTTTTTCTCTTCTTTCTTTATTAATTTATAGTTTAAACTTAAAGTGAAAAGTTGCTCATTGTATACTACACAAGTTTCTCTGATAAATTTATCTACGGTAAGCTTATACAGACTACATCCATGTATATTTGCACAGATATTTAACTATTTATATATAACAGTTTTGCCAGAGACTGAGGAATTATCGTACGTAACTAACGTACGAAAATTAATTGGTGGCTAGCTTTTTTTTCGCACGTATACAGTGAATGGCCATTTTGCCCAGTAATCCCAGCCAGAATTTGGCTATTTTCTAAATTTGCGTTAAAGTTTAAAATATTTGTTTTAGAACTGAAACACATTAACTATTAGTCAATCAAAATGCTAAAAACATCAACAGAATTGACTGCGTATATCTGAAATAGACCCGACCGACGCACAAAATAATGCAATATGGCGGCCTCTATGAACAACCCTCGCAGACGCTGTCATTGAAGACAACATCAATTCTATTATGAGTTGTAGATGTTATTTTTGTGAAAAATCATTGGAAGAAGAGAGAACATGTTGGGACTGTACGAATTATATAGTCTTTATGGGTGCAACGGACACAATGCTGAAGATAAACCTGCATAGAATTATTTTCATAATTATATAGGATCTATTGTTCTATCCCCAGAAATAGGCTTACTAATTGCAAGTAGGTCATTGACTTGATTACAAAAAAAAGGTAAGCAAGTTTATTTGGAATATGCTGTACACCATAAAATAAAACAAAGATAATTATTGACTTAACAGTCCCATTGCCCATTCGAGAATGTGACCCCCATGTACCTTTAAGTCTATAAATAATAGACTTTGAGTTGACTAGTCTATTCTTTACTGTAACTCACTAGGCTACTCAGTCGATTTCAGATTTGTAGATTCATAATTCATTTTATATTATTATTAATTATTCCAAGATTTTTATGATACTTCTCTACACAAAATAATGATAATACGTAACAGTATACCGTTATTTACAATATAATAAGTCGCTCTCGTAAACGGTAAAATATTTTTGAACAACGCATTAGATATTACTGGGCGTATTGCTTCTTATGTTGTGTCAGCCATACAGCCACGGCACAGGACAGGTGCTGACATCATTCATAAACATTCGTTTACAACTCGTATTCATCAATATTTTCACCGTTATGTTAATAATTACGTCTCGTGTTGTATACTTACTATTCTGGATTCATTTTAATTAATTATTAAGAACACAGGATTAAGAAAAATAAATATATTTGGCTTCAATAATTGATGTTAGTTCTTGAAACAGTATCGACGTAAGCAGACATATACGCCTGCGAATAAAGATGGCTTCCTTCTTCCGATTTACAATTGCCTTGAGAGGGGGGTATATCAATTGCTATGAAAATGACGTCATGTCCCAACGTGGCATCATGTGTTTTCCGTTTCCGGTTGACGATTTATATGAAACGTTTTCATGTTTTATTCGAATGAGAATGAGTAAGACACAGTTAATAGCCGGAATGAATACTAGCTATAAATATCAGTGTTTTGGTTAAATAAAATGATAATGTATTCCTGATCAGTCTTGATATAATTCCGTCATAGATCGTATATGATTCCATTGTTATGTAATGCGAAGTTAGCACCACTATTCATGACAGTTCCTCGTAATTTTGTTGTTTTTGAAAATATCTGTGCTGCGGTCCGGATCAAAACGTCATTTATGAAAAGCCGCCTGGGTTTTCTCCGGGTTTTCCCTATTGTTTCCATCACTGATCCGAGGCATATTAACCCGATGCGCAATTTTTGTTTGTTTTTTTGTTTTTTTTTGTTTATAACATCTTTCGTGCGGATCAAAAGAAAAAGTAATCTATGAAAAACCGTGAGTGGGTTAGCCAACCTATTATACCTAACCTTAATTCAGGTTATTCCCATACTTTTTGGTCATAATAATATGGTCGATTATGCAACGCTTTCAATTATTTATTTATGGCTGTGCTCAAACGTACGCTATTTAATTCGTGCCGTGCTTTTGATCACATACTTGTGTGATCTGTCCCCGCAAAGCTGTGTCAATGCACTTAAACGTTTTATTACAAAAATGAAATGACATTAATGTGCGCACGCATTTTAGGGTGCCGTACTAGGCCCCACATAAAGGAATATGAACCGTTTTTATTTGCCAGTAGCACATATTGGCATGCGAGATATGTGTAAAAATTATCTAAAAACAACACGCTATAATTGTGCAGAGATATTGAAATTTATATGAAAAATCATTACAGACAAAGTTGATAGAGGACAGATCCTACACGGGGCGTCTAACATCCTACTTTGATCCTACACGGGGCGTCTAACATCCTACTTTGATCCTTAAACACATCGAGGAGTAATCAGCGCAAAGTTGACAATCCGCGCACCAGCGGGGTGATCACTCGTCAAACCTCGGGAGATTACGTTACTCTACATCTAGCCTCGGCTGTAATGACGGTAAGTGATATGTACCTACGTCTATACAATTGCGATGCGGCACCGGTTTACTTATTAGGAAAACTTGCCGCTTTAAAAAAAAGGGATCAAAACATTCTCCAAAGGCGTCGTCATGGGCAACGCCGTTTGTAATCCGGGAACTTGAAAGTAGTTTCAATGGCGGACTTCGTCATACAGCTGAGGCTAGATGTAGGATACTGGAATCTGCTGAGTTTTGCCGAGTGGCGGGGGGATGAGAATGCGCCCAACATACACATATCTTGCGGAGATTTTTGTCCACACTGACACCTGAAAATTGCTTTACAGTGTCTTACATCGTATTTTGCCCCACCCCCCCGCAATTACGGGATCTAGATAATTATTGGAAATAACTCTTAGATATTGTGGCTGATTAGTATCATGTCGTGATGTCGCCCTTCATAAGGCGACAACCCGATATCACGACAACCCGACATCACGCCATTTTAACCCGGCAATACGACATTTTCACCCGACACCACGGTACGACATCAAAAATGTCATAATGTCGCGTAAAAATGCCGTATTGTTGGGTTAAAATGTCGTGTTGTCGTGAAGTCGGGTTGTCGTGGTGTCAGGTTATCGGCCATATTCTTCTCAATACTATGATTATATACACTGATCCTGGTTTTGGTCCAGAAAGTTCCCCGGGATTTTGCAGCGTGGTTTCTCCCCGTCGGTAGTGCAGGACAAAGGGTCTGGAAAAGTACAATGTATAGTTGTGTAGATGGGACAAATTCAAGCTGCTGTGTACACATTGGCGTGCACATAAAAGAATCCTTCACAGTTAAAGTTCGATGAAGAACCCCCCCCCCCCTCACGTCCAGGCTAGCGAGTCAGCGCCTTACTCACTTAGCCACTGTAGCTCACCTCAATTCATTTCATTTCATTTCCTACTTTTCCGATCCAATCTGACTATTGAAGATAGGCATACGCTATGCAGAGTGATATGACGGAAATTTGTAATGAACCGTGGCATTTCTTCGTCGAATTTCGACAGTGAAGTATTCTTTTATGTGCACGCCAATGTGTACACAGGAGGTTGTTTTTTTTGTCCTATCTACAATACTAGACACTGCTCTTTGCCAAGCTCTTTGTCCTGCACTACCGACATATGGAGAAACCGCGCTGCATAATCCCTGGGAACATAATCAAAGCATTGAGAGGAATATGGCGGATAACCCGACACCACGACAACCCGACACCACGACATTTTAACCCGACAATACGACATTTTTACGCGACATTACGACATTTTAACCCAACAATACGACATTTTTACGCGACATTACGACAACCCGACATCACGATATTTTAACCCAACAATACGACATTTTTACGCGACAATACGACATTTTTTTATGTCGTACCGTGGTGTCGGGTGAAAATGTCGTATTGTCGGGTTAAAATGTCGTGATGTCGGGTTGTCGTAGTGTCGGGTTAAAATGTGATACCAATCAGCCACCATACTTAGACGAGCGGTAGAGCCCCCAGTTTAATGGATATTTTTCAACGGTCTAGACAGATCCTCTATAAAACTATTCTGGATTCGGGCATTTTTATTTTCAAAGCTTTAGCCTTCGGATTTTGGCGGAAGGTGGGGTGGGGGTGGGGTGTTAAAGTAGCTTTCATTTCGGTCAAATTACTTTACTCTGAACCGAGATGTTAGCTTTGAATTTTAGGCTAGCCTCGATCATCATTACTGAAACCGGTACGATGAAAAAACTCAGTCTTGATTATCCATTTTTACGTTTAATTTTTTTTTTTCAAAAAATGTATCCGCTAAAGTAGCTTTCATTTCAGTCAAATTACTTCACTCTGAATCGAGATATTAGCTTTGAATATTAGGCTAGCCTCGATCATCATTACTGAAACCGGTACGATGAAAAAACTAAGTCTTGATTATCCATTTTTACGTTTAATTTTCTTTTTTCAAAAAATGTATCAGCTAAATATCACAGGCTAGCAATGGCATCGAGAGAGTTGATTATGGTCGAGATAAGTTAAATTATGTCTAATTAATAATTTAGATAACATTTCGGGCCTAAAGAAAGACCTGCAATAGGAAGATCTAGCTCTTGCATAATGTATGTTTAAATGGCTATTGTGGAGTGGACCTTATAACACTGACCTTCTCCTCCATGACAGCTTAGAGGTCATTTTATGGGAAATTCTACTCCTACTTTATATCCGACGCCCTGCTGTCAGTTGTCATCGACTGGATTCATATCTTTGACAAGTTCATAGTCCCAACTCAAATAAATTCAAACGATTTGCCGCGACACGATTGATGCAGGATACCATACGGATATGGAAGAAGATGGTATATAGTAATAAACGACATGAATTGATTTGTTTTAATGTGAGATTTACTTTGTATCAAAATACTCAAAATAGCTCTTATTATATGACACAGTTGAGCAAATCATTCGTCAAATGTGATATGACGGAAATGAAATGAAACAGTTGTTTAACGTCCTACATTTCTGCACCAGACGGGCTAATGAAGACGGGGTCATATTAGGCAATATCATGTATACTACCGAGGGGGATCACGTGGCTAAGTGGGTAAGACGCTGGCTCGCTAGCCTGGAGGTCGGGTGTTCGATCTCTGCATTGGCCGAGAAAGTTCATCCAAATTTTCCGGCGTGGTTCCCCCTTGTTAGTGATGCAGGACGGAGGGCCTGACAAGGAAAGCTGTCTAGTCCTTCGGTTGAGACGAAAAACGAGGTCCCGTGTATACATTAGAATGCACGTAAAAGATCCCTTGGCAGTTGGAATTCGATATAAGAGTAGGCGATTGTGTCGCTGCCCGGGCAAAATTTCCCTCATAGCACACTGTATGGCGTATGCCCGTCTTCATTAGCCCAGCATAGGAGCAGAACAGTAAGACGTTAAACCCCATTTCATTTCATTTTATGTATACTACCGATGTCTATTGTTTAATCGACCCAAATATTTCAGAACATTCTTTTGTGTTTCGATAATAGCTTCCCCGCTTTGATTAATACGAGAGCATTAATTGAGTTCGTTTCGGGTAGGATTAAATGTAATTAGGTGTTTCAGAAATTCAATATATAAGAATAACAGATATCTATGATTATTTTAAAGAAAAAATGTGATTGTTTTAGCAGCAGAGTTTATGTCAGAGTGATTTGCATTGGCTGTAGCTTATATTGCCAAAATAGCTTTCTGTACGCGAAACACCACCATCATTTATTGTGAGCATAAAATTCGTTGTTTGGTTGTAGTTGATAAACCAGATCTTCCAAACATTTGCTATTGGTTATACTGAAACTCTTAAAATTTCGCTATGTGACAGAGGGCGTTAAAAGTTATAAATCCCATTTCATTTTACATGTATTTGGTTTCGTTAATAGATGGATGGAACGGAAGATCAAGCAATTCGACAGATCAATGAATACCCACGGTTTCTGGAATCTGTCTGCGATATGTTTGACTTATCCAAAGAATTGGCAATATCACGGTTGTTAATGTATACTATCTGAAATGTATATGCCCTTGGTTCCCAACCTCTGGGTCGCGACCCCAGCTGGGATCGCCAAGTGCTTTTCGTGCGGTCGTGGCGGACTACACTGACACTTTTGAAAAAATGTTATGATTTCATGAAAAACATATACATCTCTTATCTATACACCTCTTGCCACATTGCTAATCGTCTTTCCTCAATTTTTATCAATGTGTAAAATTGTAAACAATTTAAGTTATCAAATAAGTAAAACAATAATAAATATATATAATGATGATATTTCATAGTAAAAGGTGACCTTGTTCTTCGAGTGGTCGCGATCAAATGCTGGTTTCTGAAAAGGGTTTCATTGGTTGCAACCAACAAAGGGGTGGGA